TGAGCATTAAAATATTACTGTTTCTCAAATGCAAGACAAAGTAGCTATTTATCAAAATCTAACTCTTTACCCCTTAAATTCTTAAAGGACCTACAGGACTTTTGCTTTTGAAATAGGAGAGATTCGATTTATTGTCCAGGATTAAAACAGAAAATCAAGGGAAAAAATACATGATCCAAAAGTTTTCAAATAGTAAAAAAAAGAAAATGACTTCTTTGAGAAAGAAATAAAAGTGATAATCCTAGCTTACTTCCTGGACAGTTTGTAGGAAGCAGAAAATGGTAACTAAATACATGCGGACACTTGGCCTCACTGAGTTAAAAGTTTAGAGTCTAATGTTGTCACAACGTCTAGAATTGTGGGGACAGGTGGCTGAAGGGGAAAGACTGCATGACAAGGGCTCAGAATATTTTAGAAGGGGTATCCTCTGGTCTGTGGAGTATTCATTTCTAAATTTGTGGGCAAAAAGTAGTCTGGGAAAGAGAAGAGCCAACTAAGAAGAGCTGCACCAAATAATCCTGAGATTCACAAAGGGCTAGGAATTACTCCGGTTCTAATAGCTAGAATAAAAAGATTTCCTTATATACAGAGCACAGAATAGAATCCTCAAAAAGATATTCCTGTAGTGAGAAAGAACAATTAGCCCCAGAATAAAGGCTACTTTGGAGTTACATGAACATAATCAAATGTGACTGTATAAAGATTAAATACACCTCCAAACACCAAAAATATTTAAAGGATGACAAATCGAACATTTGATTGTATAAAATTCTTAATGGCTAGCATCTAGCAAGACTGCTAGGCAAACAGAAAAGAAGAACAAACACATAAAGGAGAAAAAAATAAAATCAGTAGAAGGAATAAAGACGAAGCTCAGTTGCAGATAACTTGCCTCACAGGTGCAAGGTCCTGGAGTTGATCCTCAGCACCGCCCACCCATCAACCTGGTAACTAAAGGACAGGACAACAGCACTACCAGAAATAATTCAAAATAATTTTTAAAAATCTATGTTCTAGAAGTAGAGGAAAACATGAATACAATGAAGAAAAATGACAGGTATGAACAAGACTCAACCAATGGGAACTTCAGTTGAAAAAAATACTGGAAGTTGATAGTATAGCAAATGGTATCATCAGTACATTAACACAGAAGAAAGTGTTACAGAAAATTGAAGAAATAGAAAAAAAGAAAAAGAAAGAAAGCAGATACATCAACAAAACATCAACAAAACAGATCTCTTGCTAGAAATGACCAGGAAAAAAACATGACAGTAGGCACAAATTACTATGCTGAAAATTAGAAAAGAGACACCACTAGAGATCCTACCAACATCACGAATATTAAAGAAATATAAAAGATTAAAGAAATATAATATAAAAAATTAAAGAAATATAACTTTATATCAATACATTGAAATATACTGAAAACAGAAAAAAATGGATGATTTCCTGTAAAAGCACAAACTACTGAAGCTTCCTCAAAATAAAATAGCCCAAGTACTCCTATATTAATTGAGGACAGGGGACTTAGTGTTTAAAGCTTCCTTATAAAATATCCCTAGAAATAACTGGCTTTAGTGGTCAATTCTACACCAATTTAAGAAAGAAAAAACAATTCTCCAGACTTTTCCAAAAGTAGAAGACAAGTGACAATAACTGATTTGATGAGAACAGTATTATCATAATACCAAAACTCTTCAAAGTCATTGTAAGTGTGAGACTAACACCATTCATAAATACAGATCTAACAATATATAACAAACTATTAGCAAATCAACCCAATAATACAACAAAAAGACAGTACACCAAGGTAAAGCAGTCTATCCCCAAAATATAAAATTGCTTTAGCATGGCAAAATCAATTAATATAACTATATATTAATAGACTAAAATAAGAAAAACTATAATCATTAATAGACACAAATAATACAATTAGCAAAGTCCAATATACAATCATAATAAACTCTAAAGAAAGTAAGAATTTCCTCAATCTGATAGAGGACAATTATAAAAAAAACCTATGGCTAACACTCATAGTAATGATAAAATACCAAGTGCTTTTGCCCTTAGTTTGGGAAGAAGGAAAAAGAATATACACTTTCACCTCTGATATTCAGGAGAAATCTTAGCCAGTGTAATAAACAATGAAAAATAATGAAAAGGCTTTTTGGTAAGAAGGAAAGACTGTATTGTTCTCAGATGACATAAATGTCTATGCAAAAAATCATAAAGACAAGAACGCAGGACACATCAACATATAAAAATAAACTATAGTTCTATATTCTGGCAATAAACATCCGGGCATTAGAACCTAAAAAATTAAATTGGATCAAAAAGCATGAAAAACTGACAAAATATGTGCAAGATCCATAAACTGCAAACTTTAAACATTATTAAGAAAAATTAAATAACACAATAATGGCGTATTAGGCAGAGCTAACGGATCAGAAACACGATTAAATGTCAAATTTCCCATAGATGATCTATAGATTTAATGTAACAGCAATCAAAATCCCATTTGGCTGCTGCTGGTATATAAAGAAAAAATTTATATTTGTTTACTGACTATATAGTAATATACAGTCACTTCTCACTACATTTGCTTATTAAATCTTACATTTTTCCACAGATGACTTGAGATTGTTCACATGTACGGTAAGGTCATCTGTGAGTAATAACAGTGCCACTAATGCCTTCTGCTCTGCATATTCTTTAATTCTTCCATCTTTCCTTAATGTATGATGACAACCTGTCATACAATGCTGAGTGTGAGAGGTAAAAACAAGCATCCTGGCTATATTACTGATATCAGGGTTAAGGTTACACATTTCACCATTAAATATGACATTTGCCTTAGAATTTTTGAAGATATTCTTTATCAGATTAAGAAAGTCATCTTATATTCCTAGCTGTCCAAGTGTTTTGAGCAAGAAGTGGTATTAAGTTACATATATAGGAAGTAAAATAAATTCTATAAATGAAAATATAAAGTGCTGATAGCAATGTGAAATAACCAAAATTCTCACGCACTACTCATGAAAATGTGAACTGATACAAATACTTTGGAAAAATATCAATACCTTACTAAAAATGAATAGATGTATACCCTACAACACAGTAATTCCACCATTCGGTATATACATGTATGCTTAAAGAAAATGCATATATTTACCCAAAACATGGACAGGTATATTTAGTACAGCAAAAACACAAAACTAACTGGCTTTATCAACAGCAGAAAAATCAAAGTGATATATTCACACAATGGAATACTAGATAGCAATGAAACGGAATGAACTAAAATATTACATCTATGGAACTGCTCAATCCTTACAGTTAATTTAAGAGTTACCAAGCTTTTGCTATGTTTAAGATTGACCGTTGAAAATAAAAACAAAAATGATCCTGTATTGACACAATTAAATTTTGTGTTAATATCTGTTACCTGACATAGTTTTACTAAATTTCCTCAGAAAATTAATTTATTTATATTATATGCTCTACCAATTTAATTCACTTTTTCTTAAGACCACAATTGCACTACTATTATTTTGTAATTATTTATTACATTTTTTCAGATCTCCTAAAATATAAAACCTATGAAAACAGCAGTTAGGTTTTGGCTACTTCTGTAACCATAGTATCCAAAACAATGTCTGGTATGTAGGTAGTTTTTAACAGTTGTATAATATTATAGTTCCCAGTCTCTTTTCCAGTCACTACTTTTGACTGTTCTTCAAATATAGGGTGTAAAGGAGACCTGCCTTATAACAGAAACTCCAAGTGTTCCAAGCTACTCTTTCCAGTTCTCTGGGAATAGAGGGAATTCTCCTGTATAAGAATATTTACAGAAGAAATACGTTGAAAGCAAACTTTTAAGAAAGGAAGCTACTAAGATGTTCAGGTCATCTTACTAAAACTAGAAACAAGGACACCAGTTGGCTATTGTAATAGCCTAAGTATGAGAGTAAAAGAATCATACATAAACTGAAGCAGGAGAGGGACACCAGGAATAAACGAACGAACGAACGAGCAAACAAAGCCGGCCAGCAGACACTACGAAGGAAGGGCTCTCGGGCACGACAGCCTCTAGTTATAATCAGAAGACTGCCAGAACTATTATCTTGCACAAAGTGCGCTGCAAATTTATACACAAAAATATTTCTGTGAGAACACCTGTCCAGAAACTTCCTGTTCAACCTCAGAGGGCTGGTGCCATCCTTGCTATTAATTTCTATAGTTAGAGATTAATGTCACAAAATATATTATGACCTCTTCATTTCTGCCTTTAAAAACTTCCCTGTGCCTCGGCCTCCTTGAACACACTGTTTACTACAGCATTCTTTTTCCCACTGTATATATTTCTTGCTATCATCACAAGCTGGCTGTAAGGATCTGACATACTTTGTGTGATGTACTCAACAGCTGAACTTCAAGGCACCTCACTGACTTCCTAAATTTCAGGAGTATCCCATTTCTACTTCAGTGATGTCCACAGCAAATTCAACCAGGGAAGCTGACAGTCGGATACTGAAAGACCCGTGTTTTACCCAAAATGCAGTCACTAAGTTGCTTTAAGCATCTTTGACTTGGTTTCACTATTCCCTCTTTTAATAAGCTGGTCCCCACTGCTGAGGCTGGGGGAGGAGGTGGCAGGTGGGTAGATTATTTTGTAACTTTATCACAATTATCAATACATAGCATTCTTTAAAGAAAAACCTGAAACTTAATCCTCTTCTATTTACTTTTCTAAGTACCTGTGAAACTCATCTTCAGATCTGCGAAAACTTCTCTTACAAACTTTACCACTGTTCTTTAACGTGCAAAAACACTTGAAAAGGAGGGAGTGGGAAAGCCGGGGTTTTTATTGTCAATCCCTCCGCCAGGGGCAGTGCTGCCTAAGCAAACCACCCACCGAAAGCTTCTCGCTGCAGAGGTCGGCCTGTCGCCTCGTCCTTCTAAATAACGAAGAAGCCGTAACTGCACTGACACTAACTTACACAGTGCGGGTTCAGGCTCCCGGCTCGCACGCCGTGCCCGGCGCGGGCGTTCCCGCGCTCGCACCGCCCCGGGGCGCTGCGCTCCGAGAGGGCGCGGACTCGGATCTGCGACCTCTGCGCGCCCACGGCCCAGAGAAAACGGTGAACACCGCTCTGCACGACAACGAGACTTAGGCAGGGCTTCTGAGCGACAACTACACCGAAAGTTGATCCACACCAAATCAAGCCCCTGCTTACGCACACCCCCAAGCACCTTCTACCCGCGCCCGCCATTCCAAACCCAATTAAAAACTCACCCGAACCCGGAAAAGCAGAAAGAATTCAGACAGGCGCGCAGTGACGTCACACGCACGCATGCGTGCAAGCTCATTAGCGTTTGCCGCTCTCGGAGGGCAAATCCCGCGTTAGTTCCCGGGTCTCAGAATCCCGGATGTTGTAGCGAAGTGCTGGGTAGAAAGGGGTCTTGTGGCGGGCGCTCTCATGGGTCTGGGTTCCTCCACCCGTAATTGTAGCGGCTCCTTCTGATCCGCCCTCATCTGTTTCCCGCCTTGTCTGCAGCGAGTTCAAAAGCAGCGTTGCCGAAACCCGGGCGGGATGCGAGATGCTGGATCTTGGGGCTTGTCTCTTAACTGAACCGTTTCTTCCCTCGGAAGCAAGACCCAAATGCAGTTTTCTCAAACGAATGTTTACAAGAATGATAATGCTTGATAGTTTTATAGTTTGGCTATTAGCACAGGCCCACCAATAGGTGAAGCTGTTTTCAGACAAGTTTAGTAGTTTAGTTTACAAGGCTGTGATTTTGATATAGCCAGTAAACTATTAAGGATAGATGAATCTTCTGCTAATTTCTAACGTGTCTTCAGTCATGTGATGTAAGTGAAACCACCTCAGTGTGAAATCATAATGTGATAAAGAAATGCACGGATATTCCAGTATGATAGTATCTGCTTTAAGTACACATTTCCAGGCAGAAATAGCTCTTTGTACAATACCTATTTTTCCAACAGGAAGCATTGAATGTAAGCCCATCTTAGCTGGCTGCTCCCCACCTCTGTTCTTGTGCCCTCAAAAAAACATGGGTGACAGCTGGGTCCGAGCTCACAAACTGTCTGTTTGAGGAAAACTGTGACACAACGGCTTGGGCCGTGTTCTTGCTCCTCCAGAAGGCTCATGCAGTAGGCGTGGAGTACTGAAATATGAAATACTATTTCAGTAGTGAAATGCTATTCTTCCTCCCTAAATAATACCCTTCTCATAGACTTCGGAACCTGACCACTTTAATCTCCATTAACAGCAATGTTTTCTCCTACCACATTTTAAACTTTTCGTTATCCGTTCTTCCCTGTCAGCATCGTAATGCATTCTTCTAAGTAGCCTAAGCTTATTAAGAGTAGAGTTGTTCACTATTATATCCACGGATCCTATGTAGTGTCTGATGTAGGTGCCAAATATTTGAATGAAAAAATACTCAGGAAAAATGTTTCTCTCTTTCCGCCTATGTAACTCCCACTCTTCCAGCGCACCCCAGCCGCACCCTTTTACACTGAAATACAGACGAAACACTGAGGAACTTTTTGTGGCTAAGCCAAAAAGACAGTTTTCATCTCACCTTTTGGAAAGCGGTTTCATTTTGCTGCTGCATAGCCCTAGTTTTCTCCTTTTTCTCTTATCAATTTAATGTTTAAGATTTTTTTTCTCTTTCTCTAGCCTATGATGTCTATATTCTGATGGGATGGAAATGCATGATGGAAGTGCGCACAACTGCTGTTTTTTTTTTTTTTTTTTTCTTTTGATTATAGCGTGCGCTCTGAGTTTCTCAGGGATGGAAACACTTACTAGACATACAGGTAACTTCCAGTCCCACACATTAGCAGTCAGTTCCTACAAAGGAATACACAGTACAATTTAACAAAATGGGGGGATAGATTGAGTCAACTAGAAAAGACACCAAAAGCATATTAACACACAATCTCTTGTTTTTCTATACGTGGTGAACTAGTACAGAACAGCTATTCCAAAGCTAACGCTGTAGTGATTATTAGGAGTTACAATTGGTAAAGACACAATGAAAATATTTTGATATGAAATCTATAAAGATAGTCTATATTTTAAAAAGTGAAAACTGAACTTCTCACTGATACATAATGACCAACAAAAGTGGAGTAGGTATTATTGTTGGGTAATACATAAGTGTAAGTAAGAAATCAGTGTAGTTCTCAGTGATAAAGATAGAAGAATTAATATGCAAATTTTTAGTGCCCCTCTCAGCATTTTCAATTTGTTCTTTACTACTTATTTTTAATGTCTGTTAAATTAAATTGCTTAGCAATCCAAAATTTCTAATTAATTTATTTGCATTAACTGAGAGGTGTCGTTATCCTATTTTTATTTTATATTTATATGTCTCAAAGGCTGTTGTCACTATGTTGCATACCTACATACAGCCCAACAATATCATTGTTTACCTCTGAGATTTTGTAGCAAAAGTAGGCTACATTACTTGGAGTTCTTGGCATGTTGAAAGGCTAAGAAATTTATGACTTTCCAGTAAAAAGCAAAATAAATATTTTTATCCATACATAAAATTTTTTAAAGTGTAAAAAAACTCAAAAGGCATTATGTAAACTCAATTCATTCAACAAATGTTCAGAGAATATTAATCACATACTTCAGATTGAAGCAATAAATTGAGCATACCCAGGGCTGGCCCCTATCTATTTGGAACTTGGAGTAGAGAGAGAATCTTTTTCTAAAAAACTTCAGAGAAATGAACGCAAAATTTATATTATAATTTTAGGTACAAATAATAGTTTTATCACGAGACAACTACATAATGGAAGAAACTGACTTTTTACTCCATTCTATAGGCTTCCTAAGGAATCAAGAATTAATCAGAAGTAATAATATCACAAAATATTAGAGGTAAATTGATATTCTAAATTTCAATGGTATTGCAATATATAGTTTCAAGCATAAAAGTACCCTGAATCAATTAATGCATTTTTAGTCTTTTTCCTGTTAATATTCTCTAAACACTGTGCTTAGGTCACCATCCCCTCTTTTTCTATCCCTAAAGTGTTGACTGGCACAGACATAACTATTAACAATAATTTTATGTGGTCATGCTCAGATATTAAATATGAGAACATAGAATGAGAGGCTGGTGACGTTGGCACACGTTAAACCAATATATAAAAACATAAATGAATTCAATTCTAATCAAAAGTTTTAAATTACTAACTCTATTTATAAAATAGTGTCATATTAATAGAACTACTTCTAAGAACCCAAATTAGAAGCACTCTGCTGCTGGAAGGGCCTAATTTCCACAAAGTGAGTCTGTTGCATGATGCACTGCCTCACATAGTTGAAGCCCGTGAGTTTGATGTCACAGTTCACCACAGGGTTTTGGACGCTCCTGTGTGTGCTCTAGGGCACCATCTCTGCGAAATGCTTGGCTCTCAGGTGGTATTTGTTCAGACACTTAAATGGTCCTCTTCAAATGCTTTCTACTTTCTTTCTCAGTGTTTCTTCTGTGCCTTGACTTGGATTAGAAAAAACTACAAATACAGTCTCTGTATTATTGAGAAGTGTCAGGCTGTGCTGTGTCACTTTCCTCAGCTTTTCCAGAATTTGTAAAATTTAAGACTGTGTAAAGCACTATAATCTCCTGTCCTTCTGAAAACTTAGTTTGGGCTCTCTTTTTTAGCTTTTAATCTGAAGCATATAGTCTAATTTTTCTAGATATATGTGCACCTCTTTAAAAGCACAGACAGAGCCTTCAAGGCCTGTCAAGGAATTTAATGGTCTGCCGCTGAAAACCACACTGCCCAGTGAGTGCTCCGTCTCAACTGCTTCCCTGAAAATAAGCGAAAGGCCAAGGCTTATCTCACACCTATTACAAGGGTGGGTATTTTTTCTTCCAGTTCCTCTTCTCTTAGCTCAGATAATTCTTACAAGAATTTACATGTCGGTCTTTTGGAGAGAAAAAACCATTTATCTGAAGTTCAACTATACTTTCAATTTTACTTCAACTGTTTTCTATTTTAATTAGTTCAAATAAAATTAAGTCAGTACTATTATTTTAAAATGTCCTTTATATTATGATTCCTTTCTTTTCTTGTTAATTCTGTCCATCTATTCAGGTATATACATTCTAATTCTATTTATTCATATAGAGATGTCTAAAATGGTATCAATAAAGTATTAAAAATGGTTGTTGATGAGTACAGGATTTGAGAGACTAGTTTCTCTCTTTTTCAAAATTAAAAATTACTATTTTCATTATTTAACCATATATCTAAAAATAACTAAGCCAAAATAATTGCTTTTTTAGACTTTATATTGTATTTTTAAGTATTGTTTATAGCTAAGATTATCTAGTAACCATGTGTATAACATTTTGTATGTTTATACAGTTGATAATCCAATTCTTTAAGAGCTGCCCTGCACAGATACAAAAGTCTAATTGTACAACTATACTAATATAACATTCATGATCATGTTCCACTTTCACTGCAGAGTAAGCCGGAAGATCACCTGATCATTTGACTTACAAGGCAGCCAATATATGCCTGGACTGAGTGAGTGAGATTTTTCTCTTAGGAAGATGGCATAGGCATTTATGCACAAACCAATGGCCTTGAATTAGAAGGACTATCAGGAGGCTAAAATGGTCATTTTCCACAAGTGCATGAAAAAGCAGAGAAAACCAAACTGCAAATAAAGATGAAATATGAATCAGATGTACACAAAGCATCAAGTCCAAGACCATGTAACCCCACAGAAAAAGTCAGTTTGGTTTTGTTAGTTCTTTATATCTTTGATATATTCTTCATGAAGAGTTGAAGGTCTCACTCTTGGGTTCTGTGTGGTGATTTCAAATTGCACAAGAATTCCAGATAGTTTCTACTTGTTTTTTGTCATTTGCTACCAACATGGCCTGATGAACATCACTCAGAAATTCTATTGGCTGCCCCCTAAAATATATACAGATTCAAGCCACTGGATCTCACCCAACCCTGGAGATGCAAGTCACCATACCCTCTGGACAGGAGTTTTACAGCAACATCCCAGAGGATCTCCTTGGCTCTTTATTCCCTACTTCCTGCCTACAAACAACTGACGCTCCATTCTCAACAAAGACAGTGAGTTACCTCACTTGTTCCTCTGCTCAAAACGCTGTAAAGATTCTGCAGTGCTTTGAAAGTAAAGATTGAAGTCCTTTAAATACCCTAAAAAGCAACATATG